GCTGGAGTGGCAGGTCTGAAGAGACTACCGAAGAGCCAACCTTACCCTGAAGGGCAGTAGGAGCCAAGCAGGAGGGTGAGTTCTGGTTTTTTGGAAGGTTGATTCAGGATAGCACTGTTAGGAAAGACTGGGCAAGACTGGAGGCAGGGAGGCCAGGAGTCCCAGTTAAAAGTTCTAAATAGGCCTAAGAGATGGCACCTAGGGCCAGGAGAGCAGACTGGGAAAGGCACTTGGGTGGCATAAAGTTTCTAGAAAATATAGAGCCTGGGACAGTAAAGGCTAATCTGGTTGTACTGGGCAGCAACCAATGCCATAGGCTTTGGCAGTCCAGACTGGGTCCTAAGAAAAGGGCTTCTCACCGGGCTCGGTGGCTCAGGCTGTAATCCTGCGCCTTTGGGAGGTTGAGGTGAGTGGATTGCTTGGGCCCGCGGGTTCGGGACCCACCTGGGCAACTTGGCAAGACCTCATCTCTAAATAAATAAAAAAAAATCAGCCAGGCGTGGTAGCGCGCGCCTGTAGTTCCAGCTCCTTGAAGGCTGAGGCAGAAGGATAGCCGGAGCCCAGCAGGTCGAGGCTGCGGTGGCTGGGAGTGGCCACTGCACTCCAGTCTGGGTGACTGAGTGAGACTCCAACTCAAAAAAAAAAAAAAAAAAGAAAAGAGCTTCTCCAGGCCTTGATTTACTCATCTGTAGAACAGGTCCACAAAGAAGACCCTCTGGCCAGACAGTAATGGAAAGCACTTCACATGGGTCCTGGCTCATAAGGAGTCCTCTCAGGTACTAGATGCCATTACTGGAGAAGGATGTACATGGGCCTCTGCAGAGGGCCTCTGCAGAAGGCCTCCGGGAGTGAGGGGGAACATGGCCCATATAATGCCCGGTGCCCTCCCCATCCTAGCTACCTTCATGGGTGGTGGTAATTATCCTGTCTCTTGTGTGACAGGCCCAGGGAGACCTGGCCCAGGGTAGGATGCTGGCATCTGCACCCAGGTTGGCAAAGGGCTTCTCAACTACTGGAGGAGCACAGCAGCCTGCCCAGCATGAGAGGCTCAGAGGTTCAGCAAGGACCCAGGCCATTGCATCATGCAGATGGCCCTGTAGGATCATGGTTCTCCTGGGCCCCCTGCCTGTTCCTCATGCTGGGGATGATGAAACCACCACTTCCCATATGGTGGAGAGACAAAGTGGCAGCCCAGCAGAGGGAGGCTGAGGACCACCTTGGGGACCATGCTGAGCCACTCAGGGAGCTTCTGTCTTCTGGACAGGACAAGTCACAGAACCTTCTGGTCCAGGTAGAGGCTACGTGTCAAGCAGCTCCTGAGAGGCCCACTGGCCATGACTGAGAGATAGACACTGATGGGTTCTCATGGGCCCAGCCAAGATAGTCCTTTCTAGGACATGGGAAGAAGGCCCAGGGTCTCTGAGGACCCTTCTTCAGAATCTGTGCCTGTCACTCAGGCAGTCATGGCCAGCACAAAGAAGAAAATATTCCTTCTGTGAGACCAAAGGGGTGGCACCTCAGTACAGGCTACAGTGGCACTCATTCTGGCTGGTAGACAGGCTGCCACCTGGGGCACAGAAGTGGACGTGCACTTTCCATGACACTGATGATCCTATGTCTCACTCCCTGAACTCTGTCCCCCAGTGGCTGGAGCCCGTCCTCATCTGCCCTAGGTTGGGAGACCATGAGAACAGAGCCATGTTCACTGGGGATACCCTTCCCCACCCTCCATTTCCTACTCCCCTCTCAGCACAGCTGGGCACACAGCAGGACATGCACAGATCCACCAGCAAGTGTTTACTGAGAACCAACTTTGGGCTGGAGCCAGGCAAGGTTCTGAGGCTATAACAGACACCAGACAGTGGTGGTCCCTGCCCCCAGTGACCTCATGCTCCAAGGCAGGGGCACCAGGACCCCAGAGAATGAGCAAACAGGTCCACGACAAATCACATCGGGAGGCCAAGCAAGTGCTCAGGGAACACCTGTGCCCAGAAACAACCTTGCAGGCTAAAGTGGGAGTGCTGTGGGTATGTGGATGGTGATTCAGCATGAGGGCTTCCAGCAATGTAGCCGCACCCAGGGTGCCATTCCGCTTGGCCCTGGCATAAAGGGAGGGCTGACTGGGCTGCCTGGCCACAGTGGCGTGTTCAGTTGCTGCCATCTCAGGCCTGCTTCCTTGCCCATAAGATGGGATGACAACCGTCATCACTGTCATCACTGTTGCTGGGCCTGGACATCTAGAAAACTAAAGGAAGTCTTGAAAGGGAGCCCAATACGCATGGCATTGCCCTCTTTTATGAGCAAAGCCTCCTGCTGTCCACTGCCATTTCTGGTGCTTTGGGCAGAGGCTGGAGAAGACACCCACACACCCATGGCCACCCTCCCTCCATTCCAACCATGAGGAAGTATTGGGTCTCCACTCCCCTGCCCTAAACCCAGTGCAGGATCTCAGCAGGCTTTACTGGGAAGCAATCATATCTAATATATAATCCCAAGAGGTCCTCACGTCCCTCTGAGGAGGTCCCACTGGAAAAGTCTGGATTTACAGGAGAGAGGGGACTGAGTGCGGTGCCCACCAGGCCACAGAGGGTCCAGGGCTCCCAGAAGGAGCTGCCACCAAGGGGCCACCAGAGGGCGCCCGGTCCACAGATGCCAGGCCAAGCTGCACAGAGCAGGAGGCGGGAGGGGACGCTATGTTTGGCTGCCCCCAGCACCGTCGCTGTCCTGGGAGGTCACCCTGTTTCCCTCAGCTCATGTGGCGCCCACACTCCCTTTGGGGCCCTGAGATCTGAAGGGTTCTTTAATTCTTGGGGCCTTAGTAGGGGTGGAGCCATAGGGGGTCCAGAGACAGTAGCTCCCCCTTCAAAGGGGCACTGACAGGATGGGTGATAATGCTGCCTAGGGTGCAGTCGCTGGCCTTACAGGCCTGGAGGAGGGCAGTGCCTGGAGTCCTGGCAGCAGACACCAGCCCACAGCTGGCATGATGCTTAGACAGCTGGAGGGTGTTCATGCTCCCTCAGCTAGAGGGACAATACTCCCACCACCATCCCACATAGGGGAAACCTATGCAATTTGCTTGTTCTGGGTTCCTAACCCATTGCACTCCCCAACCCAAGGACAACAAGACCCAGGTTCTTTGGCTCAGTGCCACCTCAACTTCTCCACTTCTCCATTTTTCCCTGTCCTTGTTCCTCACCCTTGGTGGCTGCCCAAACTCTGCCACTCTGTGTCTCTAACCAAGAAAAGCAGCCTGTGGATGCAAGCAAGTTTAGGATGGTCCCTCAGGATGCAACTGCCCAGTGGGTGTGGACATGCTAAAGAGGGCTGTGGGGTGGATGGCTTCCCAAAGCAGCTCCATCCAAGACCCGGGGCTGGGGTGGGCAGCTGCTCAGTCACCTTGATACCCTTGTATATGCAGAGAGATTCACCAGAACAGCCAGGGAGGCCCAGATACAAGTTCCGTTGCTTATGTGTGGGGAGGGAGGGCAGAGCACGAATCACACTATGCCCAGGGCTTGTGTTGCCAGGCTTCCAGGTGTGCCCCCATATGGGACAGATAGAGGCCAGTGGGGTAGGGGAGGCAGCCTGACAATAACAAGGTTGCATCTGCACAGCCCAGGAAGGTGCAGGAAGGACAGTTCCAGGGGACTTCAGAGGGGTCCTCTAAAGAATCCCAGGATTGGGGGAAGGAGAGGAGTCAGGGGACAGTCTCAAGCGTTTGTCCCTCCTGGGGGACAAGGGTCTGGAGCCTGGTGGCCTCCCCACCCCCAGCAAGGCATTGCCACAGACCACCCTCACAGGGATGTACCGATCTTTCTTGCTATGAGCATTGCCCGGCCCCTTGCCACCATCTGAGTGCACTCCTACTCTAGTTTGAGAGGAGTCCCGGAGAGCAAGAACCTGGTCGGTTCTGTTCCTGTGCACCGGGTCCCAGGCGCACTGCACAGACCCAGGGTGCTGCCCACACGTTGGAGGGTGAAGTCTGGGCTCCAAGAGGCCCTTGGAACAGTGCGCCCACCGCCCCACCCTCGTATACACTTCTGTCCCCAAAGCTCCTCGGGCGCCAGGGAGGGAAAGGGCAGAACTGCAGGCAGCTGCAGGGCTGAGGCGGCCGTCAGGAGGGCCGCTGTTCTTACAAAGAAATGACATGGCCCCTGGGCGGGATCCAAGGCGCCGACCACCTGCAGCTGGACTTGCTGCTCCAGGCCGCCTAAACGCCAGGCGGGGGCCGAGCGCGCACGAGTTCACCGGCAGAGATTCCTGCGAGGCGGCGGCGATCTGCCGGCGGAGGAGTGCACAGCTTTCCCTGCCTCTCAGCACCCCCCGCCCTGCACGCGGGCGTCTACTTGTAAAACCTACCCAGTCTGTCTCTGCAGGGCACCCCGCAGGAATCCCCGAATGGGACCCAAGACGCCCCCCAGCGAGGTCCGGACGGAGGAGTGGGAGTCCGGGGCCAAAGTCAACTGTGCCCCGACAGTCCGGCCACGCTGAGTCCGGCAGCGCCCCGACAGCCGGCCTGAAGCTCAGGCGTGCTCTGCGGCGAGGGCGGCCGGCGTTTCGCCCCGGGGATAGGACTCCCGGCCAGCCGGCGCGCAGGGCCGAGCTGCTGGTCAAAGACACCTAGCTCCCGCAGTGGCCCGAGAGGAGCGCACCTAGTGGGGGTCTGCCCGGACCCTAGTTCGGCGATAACAGCTCCAGGGGAAAGGGGCCGGTGCGCGTGTTGGAGGCTGGGGAGACGGAGCGGAGTTGAGACCAGGGCGAGGGAGGGTGGCGCAGAGCTTGGAGGCGACGGCCGTGGGGGTGCAGACCAGCAGAGGCGCAGGGGCCACCCGGGGCCAGGACGGCTGGGCGAGGCGGCGGGATCCGGCGCCTAAGGCAGGTGGCCACGCCGGGAAGACTAGGGGGGAGAGCAGGGAGGCAGGAATGAACCAGGGCGCGCAGGGCTCCGCGTCCCTCAGCCCCGCAGGGCCGGGGGTCCCAAGCGTCGCGCCCTCACTCACCCGAGATCTCCGCCTGGGGCACATCGCTCAGGCTGAAGCCCTTGGCCCCGTAGATCTGGCGGACCTCGCTGCAGCTCCGG